GATGAAATGCTTTGCATAGATGAGTTCGAAAAGATGAAAAGTGCCAAAATCTGGAAGGGAGAGTGACAGTCACAACATTTCCGCTTCCAGATAAGTTTGTTCTTTACACACACCATTAAAAACACAGTATTGCTACTGCACTGTATCTATAATATATTAAAAAATGTATCTGAAATCAAGTGAGTAAGAAACAAGAGGCTGCTCTTCCTTGCCCATGATTAGGGCCTGTTTCTGGAAGCTGACTCTGAAGTACATTGAACTTTCCACAGATTTTGGAAAAGTCCCGAAGCATAAATACCAACTCTTTTATTCCTAAAACCTCAGCTCACTCCAGAATTTCCCAGAGAATCTGGCCCTTAGGGATTGCCGAATTTTGCTGTTTCCTTCTTCACATACTTCTAAAAGCTCCAAAGTTCTCTGCACGCCCAGGTGCAAGTGAGATAGAGAGAAAGGACCATTTCAGAGCTCTCCATTTTCACTATCCAAGCTTGTGCTCTCTACAATCAGAGCTTTGCTGACAAGGCACCAGGCCTCAGAAGATTAAAAAGGACAGATTCCCTCTCGCTCCACGTTTTATCCACCTCGGTTTCTCTGACACGCAAACCAGAGATTGTTCCTTCCTGCCATGGAAAGCTGAGCACAGGCAGTCCACCCACGTAGTTGCGTCACCACCAGCGTTTTTGTCTTCAAGGTCTGAGCAACATTTCTACTGATTCACCGAACCCCGCCACAGTGGACTATTCTTAGAGTTGATTTCCTTCCGTCTACTACATCTAACCATCCTGAGTGAACATCACCTTTAATGTATCATCAGTCGAGCCTGCATGGGGGCAGATTTTGTCTGGAACGAGAGGAGCTACTCCTGACTGTTGCAAGCTGTGAAGCTTCATCTATCATCTATGTCGTATTACTCCACAGCATTAAAGGCTCTGGACCGGAGTTGTGGTTGCAATCTCTTATATTCTCTTTACATCGCTTTTCCAAGTGACCACAACCCTGCTCACCATGGCGTATCTCCTCCCCGAGATCACAGCAGGAGGAGCTGCCACTGCACGGCTCTCTCTTTGCAATTCATGAGCTGGCTTTGACAACTCTGTTGCAATCACAGAAAATAGGCTAAAACGTTATAATGGTCCTATCACCATTTAATCCATTCTGTCCAACAGCAAAGTTGGATTTCATAAATCAAAAGTAAGCAGCTAAACTATTTCGACTAAAGAATTCCTTCCCTTTGATGAAAGCACTGGCAGATTCATAAGCCTGACAATAAAGGAGAAGCAGTCCTAGTTATTTTTTTCCAACTGAATTTGCATTGCCAGTGTATGCAGATCTCCAGAACTTCTTAAGAGATTCTCTTAAATAATATGATGAGTTCGGGATTAAACCATAATATTATAATTTTCTCTCTCCCTGTCTCAGATTTCATATCCTCAGCAACAGAGCTGGGATTACAGCTTGAGCTCAGGATGTGGTACCAGACAGATGACAGCATTTCTTCTTGGACAGATCAGATTTTTATATCGGGGATTTTTCTGGGGCCTGCAGCCTTTTCTGTGCAAAAGTACGACATGCTATTCACTCCCTTTACTTGCCGTAACAGTGTGCAGCAAACACACCCAGCTTCCTGACAGCCATTTCTTATCGCTCGGGTATCCCGTTGTTCAAAGAAGGTTAAGATTGGACATTCGGAGCTTTGACCTCATGGGAGAAGGGAAAACAAAATCGCTTCAAACTCAGACAAATTCTTGATGTCAAAAGAGTATTTTCTTATGCTCAGTACACAAAAGAATGATGGCAGAAAACAAGGAGGGTCCCTCTTTCTGCAACAGCCCTTCTTTTCTTTCTTCTGAGCAGGATGGGCAGAAGCTCAGGTTGCTCAACGCTGGCTCACCCACCTCACAGTGACTTTGCACAGGCAGTGACCTCTGCGTAGCTAAAATTTCCTGGGTGCTATTTATTTGCTACTTGTGGAGAAAGAGCAGCAGGCAGGACGCAGCCTCAGACCCTGCTCCTGCAAGTTGCCATCACACCATTTCCACTCATCCCAACAGATGCCGCAGTACGGCAGCAGGAAAGATTTTCCAATGCCCAGTGCAAGGTAAGGAGGCCAAAAAATATCTGAAAGCTTCTGCGTATGGCACTTCTGACAAATGCCGTAGTTTTTCAATCATTTTTTGAGCAACACCTGAAAAATTAATCCAAAAGTAAACATGTTGCAACATGCATTTCATTTCAAGGATTATTTTATATATATTTCTTTAAGTATCTTTCTGGCTTGCAAATCACTCCTTATATCTAACTATACACCTATGTACACCTTCACAGACGTGTCTAGGCCTGTTTCTGCAGTCCTTACACAAATAAAATACCCATCCACTTGAATGGGAGCTCTTTTCAGATAAATGTGGCAAGACTGGGCCTTTGGTGCATACGTGCAAGTATCCTGCACACACATTTTAAAATCATTAAAAAAATATAGTAGCTATAGATTTATAACTGATCAAAATCTAAACACAGTAAAACTGCACTTATTACAGTATAGCCTAGGTGAATTTACATTGCTCATCTATATGAAGCAAACAAAGGAAAGGAAATGTCTGTGACCCTGTAATTACAGGTTAACCATAATTACAGTTTTGCCTATCCTTTTATGTGTCCAAAAAGTCCAAAAGGATTTTTGCAACTAAAACGAAGGATTTGCATCATTTCTTTCAAACATACGGATGCTTCTCAAGTGTTTTCCCATCTTTTTTGAAGTATCTTTTGCAACATATCAGACTACTTTCAGTTGCTTTTGTTCACTTCAATTGCCATAGTAAAGAAAAATCCCCTACTAAAGAAGGTAACCTTAACAAAGCAGCAGCAGCAAAGCAATACTGAAGTCACTACTAGTCCCATACTCAGGCAGAATAAGGAGTAAGGGCTCTAGGTACCAGCTTCAGCGTCATTACTGTTATCATAAAGCTTAATGCACAGCAAGACGGCCAACCCACAGGGTCACATTGCTCTCTAAATAGCACTTTCATTACAGCACTTCATTATCAAAGCCCTTTGCACATAAATTTACAAAAGACAACAAAGACAAAAACCTCTTTTGCATATGAAACCAAGGAAACCATTTCACCTACAAGTTCATTCTTAGCGTGCTGCATATTTCACAGCTAGCCGATACGAGGTGGTGCTCACTAACACACAGTATAACTTGAAGACCAAAAGCACAACACAAATATGTCAAGCTTAAGCACAAGTCCTTCGCCTACCCCTGGCTGGTATTTCCCAAGTGAGCTCTGACACCTCTGTCAAGGATATGGGTTGCTTTTAAAGTAATCAGACCTCTGGAGTCTAGCGTAAAGATAGGGAAATAAACTCTCATATACCGTCCAGGACACTGCTGGTCAGTAGGGACTTTTGAAATGGAGACCATTGTGCTTCACTTCCTTTTTGATCATTTTATCTGTAGCATGAGCAACTTTCACAGCTCTCAGCATAGCACAGAGGCTTTTAAAAGAAGCTTTGTGCATTCACGCGTTACAAAATCAAAATCCAAGACCAGATTTGGATTTAAACCCTCTCCCCCTGCAAAAAAAAAAAAAGAAAAAAAAAAAGCATCCCTCATATACAACTAGCACTTTAAACTCCAAATCCTTGATCAAAGATCTTGTAATCTAAGAAAGACAAGACAAGGCACTGGACAACAGCCCAAGTGCTTCAGACTAAGAACTTACATGAGGAAACTCTGTTCATTTAACTATGCCAGCACAGCTGAAACAGCAAATCTCACCCTCCTGTGTACGCAGTCATACCAGTGTGCAAGGGCATATACCAGCAGCCTACTATACCACGGTTCCG